CCCGTTTCTCATCCTGACATAATTCTGGCACTTGAAGGGACATTAAAAGCTCTGCAGTTTCTCATTAAAATCAGTTTCGGGATTTAGGACAGTGGTCTAGGGTGCTGAGGAATATCTACACATGTTTCTTTCAGTCTAAGAAATTGTGTTGCTCAGTTTCAGTGCCAGTTTTCCAAACATTTCCTAGGATGGGTTAAAGAAGGAAAGCTTGTTTTTGTTTTTGTTTTAAATCCCCGGAGGGAAATTTTTTTATTTTGCAAATACTACAAAAACTACAAAGAAATATTAGGGAAGGGACTACAACTAAGGATAAAGAAAAGCAAACCACAGTAAACTAAAACCCCAAGAAGAGGAGATCTTTTCACTGTTAGTAAAAATGTTAGTACAGTTAGTTTTAATATCACAATATACTTGTAGAGTTCTTGCTTATAACTATTCGCTATTTATATGTTGTTAGTTGTTATGAGAGAAGTCTCTGATCATCTTCTTATTCTTCGCTTCAAAAGGCCATTTTCCAAGTCCTTCTGCCTTTACTTCGGCTTTCTGTCTCTAAAATCGTATACCACTCTGGCAGGTCCAGCACCCTTTTCTGCTGCAGAATCCTCTTCCGTTCCCGAGGTAGCAGAGTCACTAGACTTCGATTCTCCCTCTTTAGATCCATCATCTGTCCCCAGCTGACGTTTCAAAAATTCTTTAACTTTAAAAGTGGAATCTATCTTCTCTCTTCTATCGTTGATCTTAAAGATGACACCCTCCGAAACCGCCCACCTGTACGATATCCCATTAGTTTGAAAAAAAGAAATTAAGTCCTTATAATTTTTCCTCTTTTGTCTAATTTCAAATGCAATGTCCTTTAAGGTTTTGATGGTTACATTTCCCATTTTCAGTGGAGTTGCTGAAGTTGCTTTTAAAACGATCCGTTTCAGGAACCCCCTGAAACCTGAGAATCATGTTAGCTTTTCCCATCTGTAGCTGCAAGACTCGATTCTCTTGGCAATTCTGCTTCGTTTCCACCTCTCCCAACCTTTTCTTCAACTTCTTGCTTGTGGTGTCTATCTCTTTAATTTTTTTGTTTGCCTGCTCCACTTTTTTCTCTGTTTCATTCAGCTGAAGCTGCTGTGCTGCAAAGTTTCTATTCATCACGGTCAATTGCTGCTTAATACCATCGAGTTGCTGCATCACCGGCTTGAGCATATCCGCCAGGAGTTTGAGGACATCTGCTCTCTCTTCTGGTCTCGGACTCTGACTGCCTGGCTTCGTTTTAAACTTTCTCTGCTGGGCCGCCATCTTCCCCGTTTTGTTTACAGTTTCTACCGCTTCCACACAACTCGGAAAACTCGCCAAACAACTTCGCGATTCAGATAAGTCTCTCAAAACACTTTCGGTTTACTTTCTCCCCTCTCCCCCTTCATGTTCATTAGCCGCTCATTCACACAAGAGGCGTCCTTCTTTGCGATCACTGTTTTCAACCGCGGGGGGGGGGATCGCTTTTCAAACTACTCCGTTTTATTCAGAACTCACGTTCATTGTCGGTCAGTTTCTCTGACCATGCTCAGTTTTACGCCATTCCGCTTGATCTCCGGCGCTTGTCCTGGTCAGTCCAGCTTATGCCCAAAGGCCACTCAGCGACTGGACCGTCGGGGCGGAGGGGAGCCTCAATTCTCCGGCATTGTGCCATCGAAGAGACTACCCCTCAAAAGCCCCCTGGCCTGGAGCCTATCACAAAGGCTTCTCAGGGGTGTCACTTGAGGTGGCACCCCTCCAGGCCACTGGCGTGCGAACCGCCCTTCCCTGTCTTGGGAAAAGCGTCCGCCATTGCTGTTCCATAGACCGGAAGTCAAGAAGGAAAGTTTGTTGATCCACCAGGGTGACCTGCTATAAAAAAGATCAGATCCAACTCTTCCTCCTTTCCCACTTCTCTCTTTCAGAATTATAAGCCAAATTGACAGTGTTCAAGTGGGTAACATTAAAACACAAAGAACTGACACTGAATTCTGACCGAGTGCACTCATATTACCAGTTAGAGGGAGGAAATAAATTGATGGGACAGCCAGCTTCTCTTGGGGAAGAGGGACCTGGGCAACATCAGGATGGAAAGAATGAGATGGTGTGTGTTCAAAAAATCCCAAAATAGGGGCACTAGATGAAAGCAGATGAAGCAAACCTGGGCAATCTTTAATTAAATCCTGGGCTTTGGGGGAAGAACAAGCAAAGAATGTATTGTGTTTGCTGACAACTACACCAGAACTGATATTGTCCTTAAAGGCAGGAGTAGTAGTATGTTAGGGGTCCAGGATTCCTCTGAGCATCAGAACCCTGTTTTCAATACCAGGCCTCACCCTTGGAATATGATGAAGAGATTATGTAAGATGAAGAGGCGATGCCAACACCAGCTTGGGAAATTCCTGGAGATTTGGGGGTGGTTCCTGGGGAGGGCAGAGTTTGGAAGGGGTGGGTCCTCAGCAGGGATGTGATGCCATGGAGTCTACCCTCCAAAGCAGCTATTTCCTCCAGGGTAAACAATCTCTTTAGCCTGGAGATCAGCTGTAATTCTGAGAGCTCATAGCTCTACCTTGAGGTTAGCAAGCCTAAAATGACGGAAGCACGGACAGAATGCCTTTCCTTTCCTGCATGGACACAACTTTACCTTGAGAAATCTGCAGCAAGAGAAAGAGTTTCCAAAACAGATACATTTAGGGGGCAGGTTCAAGAGTTGGCAGGCGACATTCAATTAAGGCCAGTAACATTCTGTGTACTTTAGAACTGATGTGATGTCATGGCAAAGAGTGAGCTGAGAGATGGAATTCTCTGGCTCAAATCTCATCTCTTTCTGGGTGACCCCGGGAAAGCTGCTCTTTTCACATTCTCAACTACCCATCTACACTGTGAGGGGTAATAATAATACTGACCTTTCATCCAGGGGGTTGAATCCAGCACATCTGCTCCACTTGCAGGGACACTTTGCTCAGACTGAAGAAGCTTTCCTGTGACGCACAAGGCACTTGTGTCAGGAAAGACTCTTTCCACCAGAGGAAAGTGTCTCTGCTAGTGAAAGTCACCTGCAGGATCCAACCCAGAGTTGGATATAAGAATTATTGATAGAGTATAAGTGAAGTAAAACAGTATGTGTTAAATATAAGAACATAAGGGAAGCCAATGTTGGATCAGGCCAATGGCCCATCCAGTCCAACACTCTGTGACACAGTAGCCAAAAATACCAGATGCCATCAGGAGGTCCAGCAGTGGGGCCATATATAATTCTAGCAAAGTGTATTCCTGTAGTTTGGGGCACAACATGCAAAGATTCTTTGTTCCATTTCGACTTGGAAGCCTTGTTGACTGAGAGGAGGTGCTCAGTGGTAGAACTTATACTTTTCTGCATGGAAAGCCCCAGGTTCAATCTCCAGCATCTCCAGTTAAAGGATCAGGTAGGTTGTGATGTGAAAGATCTCTTCCTCAGACCCTGGAGAGCCACTGCTAGTAAATGTAAGCAATATTTTAGACCCGTGGTCTTACTGTATTTGTTGTTCAGTCGCACAGTCGAGTCCGACTCTTCGAGACCCCATGGACCATATCACGCCAGGACCTTCTGTCTTCCGCCGTCCTCTGAGGTTGGCTCAATTTCATGTTCGTTGCATCTATGACACTGTCTAACCATCTCATCCTTTGCCGTCCCCGCCTTCTTTGACCTTCAATCTTTCCCAGCATCAGGGTCTTCTCCAGTGAGTGCTCCCTTCTCATTTGGTGGCCAAAGTATTTGAGCTTCAGTTTCATTATCTGGCCTTCCAGGGAACAGTCAGGGTTGATTTCTTTTAGGATTGACTGATTTGATCTCCTTGCAGTACAAGGGACTCTCAAGGGCCTTCTCCAGCACCATAGTTAAAAAGAATCTATTCTTCGGTGCTCAGCGTTCCTTATAGTCCAACTCTCGCAGCCATACATGACTACTGGGAATACCATTGCTTTGACCATGCGGACTTTTGTTGGCAGGGTGATGTCTCTACTTTTTATCATGCTGTTTAGGTTCGCCATCGCTTTCCTCCCAAGGAGCAGGCGCCTTTTAATTTCATGGCTGCTGTCACTGTATAGCAGCTTCATACTGTCAAGGATCGTAGCCTAAAACCAACAGTCTTGTGCTGCCTTCTTTCTTTTCTTTTTCATGCAGGTCTCTTATTCCTCTGGCAAAAATTTACTCAGAGTAGGCTTCCAGGATGTGCTTGAAAGGCATATGACACAGATGGCCTAGATGGAAACACTCCTGGAAATCCTATGTGTGCCCCCGTGAGTTCTGTGAAGGGGGAAAGGTGGGATTTAAATGTAAGCTAGAAATTAAAAATCTGTACATGTCCACCAAAGTTTGTGCTTCTGAGCAGACATGCATAGGATTGCACTATTTATATTTTTACAGTTTTACATT